TTGATCAATGAGATCAAGAAGGAAACTGAGAAAGTTTCAGACTCGTCTAAACAGTGTTTCTTGATCGTACAGAAATTGCAGCATGCCAAAAGCTCTTTGTTTAAACACTAGTCGTTAGTTGTGATAGGATGCTGCAATCTATGCCACTGCTACCATACAATCACGTCAAGGCCAGGAAGACTATCATTATGCTGAGGAGATAAATAGAACAGTTTTTTTTCCCCCCTTTATATTCTGGCACATAGAACACACACAAACCAAAGCTTTGTGGAGCTAGTGTGAACTTGATTCAGAGATTATAATAGTTAACAGTCAAAATGTAATTTGAATTTTTATCAAAACCTATTAAAAAATAACTTTTGACAGATTAAACCATCTAAAAAGAAAATTTCAGATTATAAAGTAGATATAAAGAAGAGAAGATTGGGGACAGCTGCAGCACTTTTCTTTTTTGGCCTACACCAACCATTTATGTATATCCTAACTTTGAATATGACTACATGGGAAAGATTTTTTTTACAATAAATCTCAATTATTCCTAGAAATGTTATTGTTTATAAAACTTATCATCTAAACTGCTACCTTGGCCTCTTTAGAAACTGTACATACAAAGACATCACAAAATGAAACAAAGACATTTTTAAACCGTTTCAGATACTATTTTTTATAAAAAAAAAAAAAAAAATTAATATCTTAAGATAATAATGACTTAATTAATAACTAAACTTTTCTTTTCAATTGTATATACGCTTTTTAATGGAGATTTAAGTAATAATAATCTAAAAAAAAAAACCCCTCTCTGCCTCATCAGTCAGATTTACAGTTGTGGCATGCGTAAAAATCCCCTCCATCTGTGAAATCTATGTGTCCAGGATTTGCACATCCAGCATGGAAACCACACTTCCCTGAATTCGGAGGAAGTTGTAATTAATTCATAAAGTCAGAACACAAAAAATGTATTGACACCTTGAAAACATGAGGGTCCTACTGAGCATTTGCAGTATGAATGTCATCAACATAGAATGTTTCTGATTGGAGAAAAAAAAAAGTTCCAAGCGTCCCCAGCCTCCCTATATATATTTTATTCTGATTATTTAATAAATAGTTTTCAGAGAACTTTAAAAGCAATTACCCCATCTTGGCAACTAGTATTGGCACAAAGAAGGTTGCAGATAATGTTCTTGATCAAACATTTTCTTCACTTCTACATCCACGCAAGCATGAGATATCTTCAAAGTAAAGACAGTGTGACAATGTTATAGTAACCAACTAAACTAGTGTACTTGGCTTAAAAATATTCTAATCAGATGCAACTGCTCTTGATCATTTAATTTCAATGTCAAATTCTCCTACCTTATCCATCATGAACGACCAATTGTATACAATGCTTTCTACTAAACAGGCACAACACAGGAAAACTTACCAAAAATCTTTTAAACTGATCATGATATAGTTAAATAATTGGATTCTTAAGATGAACTAACCATTATTCTGTTTTATGGACGTTTTTATTAGGTTGCGAGACATGTTATACAGGACCCTTTGAAGCAAAGATGTAGTTAATCAAAGTGCTACTGTCATCAACCAGTTAAGTGTATTTGATCCAAATATACTCCAGACTGTAACACAAAAAATGTGTTGCTCCAGTTCTGGGTTATTTTATTTTGATTTCAAAACTCTGCAAATTCTTTCTCAAACAACAGAAAAGCATCTGAAAAACGTCTTGCTATAAAACTGTCAACTTGAGAGGGTAAAATGTGGCCTTATTCAGAGGTTATTGCTGCCTCTCTTTACTTTTATTTGTTTTTAGTTATGAGGTCTGTTATTCTGATATTTTAAATGAAAATGTCAGTTTATTTGCAACGGTATTTTACTAAGATCTGATTTAGTGTGGCTAAATACATAAAGCAGAAGATGGCCTGAATAAAGTGCACTTCATATCCTGGATTCAATTTGTCCCTTTCAAAATTAGCCAAACCTGACTTTCAGGAACAACAGAATGTCATCTGCAAACCATTGTACTGTCTAACATTTATTGTAGACAGACTTTATTGTTAGACGGTGCTCCTTTGTGGTGGGGGGTAAGCCAGTGGCTTTGATAGAGGGACTGGAGTTCAAATCCCGGTTACATCAGGAAAGGGATCCAAAGTAAAAACTCTGCCTAAAGTTGCAGCGACTTAATTTGGTGACCTATGAATAAGAGAAAAGCCAAAAGGAAAGGAACAAACTTTACAGTAAAACAGAACTTAGCTAAAAAAAAATGTGAAAATTGTAATGTGATATTTTTTTATTTGAAACCAGAAAGTCTATCAGGAACAAATATCCACAATGCAAACCACTCCTAGAGCAAAGATGCCTTAGTCCCAAACAGTTTTATTCTCATTATCCAAAACTAATGCATTGCATTCCCACTACAAACATCCAAACTTTTTTTGCTTTAAGAAAAACAAAAGTAATCTACAAATCATTTGGCTTTATTGCAACCAACCAAACAACTTTGCTGAACAATTTTAGAGGCTGAATGTAAAATTTGCTATTGTAAAATCTCCTTTTGAAAAGACAAAATAAAGCTCGAGTGAAATTTTGAAGTTTAGTTGACGACAGGAATGAATTCCTTTAATCTGGTACATAAGCGATGGGATTGGTGCTCGACGTTGAGGAAATCCTGAATCACTGCTGCTGGCATTTAAAGGACACATGCCCGCTGTTGTTTGTGGAAACAGTTAAAACCACATACACGGCCAAGTCTTCTCCTTCCATTGCACTCAGTCACTCAGCATCCTTATCAGAAGAACAAATTACTCCACTTATTACCATCCCACGCACATTGACCCACACATACGCACATACATTTCTAAGTAGATCCAAACGATGGCAAAGCTGCTACTGGGACAACGTTTGTCTTGGCAAGCGCGTTTCCCCCTCAGAATCTAATTATTTGCAGCAGCTGCTTGTGCTCTTGTTTGTAGCTCCGCAGAGCTAAAAACTCTTTAAAGGATCTCTCTTCTCCTCTCCTCTGAGCTGGCAGGAAGCTCTGTGTTTTGAAACCCCCCTGAAGCAGCTTCTCTGTGCCCTGGGAAGGCTAATCAGACATCGAATCCAAACACTGCCTGGTGAAACTTGAGATAGGTGTTGGATTTGCAGATCAGTCTTGTCATGACTAAAGGTTTCAGATAAAAAAAAAGAACTCTCCATCATTTTCCACAGTTGCCTTTCAGTAACGTGCATTGACAGTGCCAATGCACTGAAATGTAAGCCAATGGTTTTACAGTTATTGTGTCTGATACAAGCTACCGACTCTGAATAGAGCCACACCATCATTTTAGCATTTAGGAAATCTAGGTCAGGGGATAAATGCTTTGGGCTTTTATGCACCAGTGACTGATCAAACACAGTCAAGAACAAAGAAACATTTTACTTGATCAATTAAATCTTTACCACACGCAGTACTCAAACTTTTACTCAAACAACGATCAAACTTTTACTCAAACAAGAAAAAAATATTAATCAGGCATATTTTGTTCCATACCTTTAAGGTGGATCTCTTTGAAATTTCAGAGACATTTTACATTTTATTTTAAATGATGCGCCTTTCAAGACTATTTGCAAAATGAATCTTAAACCACAAGAGCATCTCATGGTGATACTTTTAAAAATCCAAATATCAAGCAGCGCGTGTAGCTACGGCTGGTTTACCAAGATAAACACACAGTTTCACACAACACCAGCTTTCACCCATACAACACTCCGCTCCTCTCAAACTTTCACAGCTGCACAATCTCCATTTACAAAACACCTCATGCACGGTGCCTAGAGCTGGGTATAAATACTATACATCATATTCCCACTCTGCTGGCAGGTCACCCTTCTCACTTGACTTGACTTAAATAGCCAAAGTGAGTAGTACATTCCCCCAACTTTATGCCTCTTTTCGCACCTTTGACAGTCCCCCTGAAAAAAGCTCTCCAGCAGCACATCTTTTTAGTGTTTGCTGACATGATCTGCCAGAAGTGAACTTATATATATATATATATATATATATATATACGCACACACACACACACACACACTTTTTTTTTCTTTTTTTACAAACTAATCAGGACTGAAAAGAAGGGAAGCGAAGAAGAGTTTGGGGGGGAAAATTCTACCTAAAAGAAGTCAATATAATGATACAGTTTCTGGATATTAATGCTAAATACTAGAAAAACAATGAATATTGAGTATAAAATATAAAACAAGAATCAACCTTTTTCCATCTGATACCATTTACTAGTTTTCTTCAAGATGTAAACTGTCTCATTATTTGGTATATAATGCCTTAGAGGGAAACAAATGCGCTTAAAGGTAAAGAATCCAAGAAAACATGATCAAGATTCTCCTTTTTTGAATGTATAACTATATATTTTTAATAGAATTTCATTTAATTAATTTAATGGCCCATTTTCTCTCTCCAATCCCAATAATGAACATTTCAGGCTGGGAATCAGAATCATCTGATTAGATAATACATTTACTTTGATATTATGATTATATGGTTAATCCTGCTCATTATGAAAGAATGACTTCACATTTACAGGATGAGTCAAATCCAACATTAAAGAACTCTTTTTTTTAGATAAACATTTCCAACCGCCTGTCATTTAGCCTTTATTCCAGCTGCGTAAATCTAACAGGTGAATGCATCGGCATTGAGGAAGGGAAAAAAATGACATTAATGGAATGTGGTGCCCTCTAATCCCTTGAGACCGAGGAATTTGCGATGGAGGGAATTCCTGTCATTCAGAGGGAAAACAGTGAAAACCTGCGCGCACAGATACGCGCACTATAGCTGCGCTACAGCCACTGGCTGCAGAAAACAGCGCAGCGCAGCGCCTCTACAGATCCCCATTTATAGAATCTCTCCTGTCTGTTAACAGATATACAATCATTTAAATTCTCTAAAAAAGGAGGAATGTTTAAAAAAAAATAGATGAGAAAATAGAGGAAAAGTTGTGTAGTACCTTTATCCCTACGTTCTTCACAGGATCTTCCTTTTCCTGATAGAGGAGTTTGGCCCCTGGTGCTGGGATTTAAGTTTCAAGTGTAGAGGCGGGTGGGGAGGGGGACCACACAGCTCCTGGAAGACAACCTCTCTCCTCTAATCCTCGCTCCGATGTGATGACACTCTCTAACCTCGACCATCTGTTGAAACACGTCCCAGAGAAGGCAGCACCACGCTTGTGTCAGGAACCCCACTCCCCCTGCCCAATCACAACCCGGCTGCTGGGTGGCTCCTCGCTGCCAGGAGGCAGGGACAAGGACACGGGACAGCGCAGAGGGGGGAGACACGCGCGCGCGCGCATACACACTCACACCCAACCCCACCTCTTATGGACACTATGAACTGAGAGCAAGAAAACCCCCCCAAGTCATAGTAACCCGAGAGGCAGAGTAGACCAACAGGAAGAATGAGGAGTGGAAACAGGAGCAATGGGAGGGGAGCAAGAGTTGAAGAAAAACAAAAAAAAAGGGACACATTCAAATGCAGAGGAGGAAAAAGATATACAAACTATATCCAAATCATCTTGATGATGATCTCAGAGTGGAACACACACACAAACTATTTCACCCCCCCGCCTAATTTATCAACCTTTCCACCTCTCTGCAGCAGCCCTGTATGTGGTCCTGAGAATGAAAGTTACAAAGGCTATAAAAACCTCATTGGCTCCACAGTGGGAATGCTGTTGGCACTAAACTGTTACATCTGCAGGCACAGGAGCACTCGCACCTTAGTGTGATAAATTGTTAAAAGTCCCCAGGCAGCATTCCTACCCTTCCCACCATTTGCCTCAAGTTTAAAAGAAGGCTGCAGTAGGACACCATGAAATCAATAAAGTAAAGTAAGGTTATGACGGAGAGACAGATGATCAGAGTTAAGCAGTCACAGTCTGATAGATTATTCCCAGCTCCATCACTGCTTCATCATGCAGTCCATTTTAGAGAGTTTTGTGGGAAACAAAAGGGAAACATTAGATGAGAAAAGCTGTTTCCTTAATCATTTAGTAAAAACACTTAGTAATTCATAGATCCATTAAAAGATGATTACGAGAACCTGATGGTATTCAGGAGTGACTTTAAAGGAAAACGCTAATGAGGTCATTTCCCTCTGATAAGCAATAGCATCAGCAGTGAGTTAATCAGGTGTCTAACATGAGAAAAGACCCTTTAAGTGGTTTGTTTACATTGTTTTAACACAATGGCCCCTGTTGCTGTTCTACGATGAATACTGGAAGAGGAAGAAATCAGAGTTTCAAGTCTTTGAAGATGAATTCTTTACTAATAAAGCAATCAGATTTAAGGCTGTTTTTAACTTCTTATAATGTACTGACCTATAAATATCACTTCTAGCCTAGTTAAATTGTTTTGAAGATCTGTAATTTCACAGAGTTCAAAAGGTTTACTTCTGCGTTAAGCATTTTATATAGATAATCTTAGAAAAAAAATATTAGAACACTCTTGTTTTCTTTCCATAATGTATTAGGTTTACAATGACAAAAAATAAAGACAATCCAAAGGTGGAACATATTAAACCCAATGTATTAAGAATGTTATTTAACATATGTTCATATAAAGATAAAAGCATGTGTTGTAAAAACTTTAATTCAATGTATTTCCTTTGATCACAGTTCCTACAATATTTCTGCGTGAATCTAAAAATATTACATTCAGATTGACAGTTAATTCCTTCTAATATCTTTTTGAAAAGTATTTGGTTATATCCCGATTGCATATATGCACCACCCTTAAAAACATTTGATGAGTCTTACAGGAAAGACCAAAGTTGCGCAGTAATACCCCTAAGATTTCACATGTGGATCAGCTTTGTTGCTTTATTGGAAAATAAGACATGAAAAAGCAGAAAGATACAGGCCTCCTTTTCAGTAGATGCTCACAGTCACATTCCCCCAAGGCGTACATTAAACTGAACAAGACCACATGAAACTTTCACCAGCTTGTACTGATGTTGGAAACAGAGGCAGCAGTGAGAATGAGTTAGGCCCTTAGGGAGAAAAAAAAAAGTGCTTAAATTAGATTAGCTAAATTCACAAAGACCATCCCCTCTGTCCCTCCTGCACAGCTACACGCAGCCTTCCCCACACCTCCAACCCCCATTCTCACGGCCGAGAGGTTTCCTAAAGGGCCTTCAGGCTGTCCAGGAGAACAAGATCTCGGCTATCTTTACTGGATTAAAGAAGGCTGGATCATAGAGGGTGAGGGGCACATCTGTAAACATCTTACATGCGCACACAAAAAAACTAAATAAGCTTCAGTGAAGTAAACATCCAAAGGGTTGTTCATGCCTTTTTAAAGATTGTACTATCATCTAGCATTCGGATGTAGCACATATTCTTCTTCTGGTTTAATCTTTTTCTGTTTTCTCCTTTGTTGATGGGCACCAAAGCAGAAGGTGGTCTATGAAACTGGACCTTATGAATGACCTGCAGGGGTTCAGTAGTACCCCCATCCACTCTCCTCTCTGCATGCTTACTTCAAAGAGTTTGCCAAGAAGCCTACCATGTGGTTTTATAACATTGACATTAATGGCCATTGAATTGAATGATTTCCTGTACTTAATATTACTCTGATTGGATCTCTCATTTAGTAGCTCATTTGTCTCTTACATGCTTTACTATTAAACTCAATCCAGGCTTTCACTGACCCCAGTCTCACTCTCACCCTCCAAATACTTCCCCCCACAGCTCTCCAGCAGCCATCGGTTGGGCTTGCAGGTGCAGACAGAGGCCAATGTTGGGGGGCTTCTCGGTTCACTAGCCCCATTTTCCACGGCTGAATGAGATACATAGGGCTGTCATAGCTGTGATTCTGCGGCAGTGCCAATATGTCATGCCAGAGCTGAGGTTTTGTGATGCCGCCACAGCATGAGTGAGTGACAGTCTTGTATGCTGCATGTTGAGGATCAGGCTCTGTAATTTCTATAAGATGACTGGGAGGAGGTATGTCATAAAGAAGAGAGAGGAAGGGGGTTTGAGAAAAAATGACAATAGGTCAAAAAATAATTAACACAGACGTTATGTAATAGAGGATAAAAGGCATGTATATTTAGAGGTGCTTGAAAACACACACTCCACACAAAATACTTAAAAGTTACCAATTCTTTGCTACACATTTTCGCTAAATTACAAAAACAAACCTAGTTCACTGGGGGGTGATAGAAACAAACGAAAAAAAAAACCCACAAAATAATGATACATTTTGAATATTAAAAAAGATGACTAAATGTTTAAGTTAGACACGGCTAGTGTAGAATGCATTTCTGTTTACCCCCCAAGCAATATGTTCATTCAATATCTGAATTCAGAAAGGGGATAGCAGTATAAACCAGAGATAGAGAATCGTGGTTTGTGTTTTTGATCACTATATTTAGTGCAACATTAACAGAACTGCTGATAAAACCACATTTTGAAACCAACAATGATATCAAATAATCAACTGTTATTTCTTTCTGGTAATGCTAGTAGACTATCAAATCTGAGAATTCAGAAAAAAGTAAGAAAATCAAACCAGATATTTCTGAATTCTACAAATGTAAAACTTAACATTATCTTCCTTCAAACTACCTCATAGGTGGTTAAAGGTGTAGTGGAGGAATTTTTTTAAAAGACCCACCATCTCCTCTTTACAAAAAAAAGGGACATCCACAAGCCTGTACCAGCTCCTGAGAGGGAACGCCTATTAAACGCGTGCGAGAGCGTGCACGAGCCCATTTCTCCTCGTGCATGCTCTGTTTAAAAGTTGCTGTTTACATCGCTCATACAAGCTTGCTTTCCAAAAGAAGATTTGCAATTTTCCCGCTTTGTCAGACTTACCACCGGTAAGTGAAAACAGGGAGGAGCACCTTGGACGGCCTTACGTAAACATATCACCAGAATGACTGACAATTACAATAGGAGGACCACTTATTTTGATGATCCACCCGGAAAAAAAGAACATCCTCCACTATACTTTTAACAGTTTCCTTCTGTAAGTTATGGAACAAAACAATACTTTTTAAGGCCTTCATTGATGATGATATAACCAAATTACAGCAATTTGATCAGGGTTACTCATATTGTTTGAAATCTTGCTGCATTAGGAAGCCAGGCAAAAACCTTAATACTGTGGTTAAAAGTATTTTTTTGTATTTGGTAATTATATTCAAAGCGGTGGTGATGCCAACCATAAAAACTTTATAATGGTAATGATTTAATCTGTTTATAATTTTCTCATTTTTGTTTTAAAAAAACTTTAAACAGACCAAATTTAACCGCAGTAACATGTTGATGAAGGCCATTTGTGTCAAGTCTAAAAGTGGCTATGAAATCTATTTTCCATTAAGTCAGAATATTTGGCAATGAGGTTTTAGTCAAGACCCTTTTAAAAAAGAAAAACTCAGGGCAAATAATTAAAAAGCCCCAAACAATCAATCCAAGCAAGTCAAGCCACAATTACATGAAGTCAGGATACTAAACAAAATTTGTAAAACACAACCTCATAATTTTCTTGAAACATTACCGTAGCACTGGAGAACCCTCTGTCGCCACAGTTAAAGTCTTACATAACAATAACCAGGTCTTTAAGTTAAGTTTGCTCTTTATTAGTTTCCAGGTTCCTCATAGCAGTCTTTAACATTAAAATGAAAGCTTATCTTGCTTATTTGTAGGACATTATTACATATGGATCTAAAATCTTCAGATAGAGAACAAGGATTGAGTTGGATCTCTTTGAATAGCCTTCCCCCCTCATCAAAAGTTCAATAGTGAAAAAGCGCAAAAGAACAAAAAAACAAAATGCAGTGGAAAAGGAAATCACTGACCATCTCAAAGAGCAACTACTTAACATTCTCCTCAACATCAAACAATGAAGCATTCAACAAATAATTTTCTCTGCACAGCCTTTACTTCACAGTCCAAGTGATCTTGAGAGAATCCAAACAAAGAAATCTGCCTTTAAAGGGTTTGTTTACTCTGATACACCCCATGAAATACAAGCAAACTCTCTTTCTGGCCGCTAAAAACTTTGACCACTGGCAGACTTCAAGAGAAAAAAAGCAGTAATTGTTGCCATAAAGCCACAGTCCAGACCCTTCCTGTTGCAGTCTCATCCTCGACGGGGTTTTGCCCCGTTTCCGGAAGCCTAACTTTCTAATCCTCTCAGGATAGAAGGTGAAAGGCAAGGACAAGAAGAAAAAGAAGGGGGCATTCACCGGGACGGAAGGAGCTATGTAAACTACTACATTTAAAATGCCTGGTTGAAAATAATCCT